GAGCACTATAATGATTAAAAATAACACTCGTTTCAAATGGATAGCTAAACCTTAAATGTTTAATAGTAATTTATTAGAAATATTATTTAGTGATCACAATGTTTTTGCTATATTATTCATGAGAAATGAGCGTTTGTGGTCCTTTTTAGCTTTAGTCCAGGATGAAAAATCAACCAGCCCATGGCAAAACTTTCTTAAAAATGCATACTTTTCTTATCTTTTGTTTTTCCAATTCCACGTCATATTCAGCATCAAGAAACTTTTGTTAAACATATGATAAATGAAAGCAATAGTTTGTTTCTTTATTTTTAATAAAACTCTAGCATATACTTCAAATTTTCTTGAAGATTGACAATGAAATTTTTGTCTTTCAAGGCCACCATCTCCTTCCTACTCTAGAGAGAGTAACTTGAACTCCACCTTTTCAAGATATTGCTATATTTCTTGGTAGAAACTTAAAAATATGCAGAAAGAGGAATGATGAAACGTGAAAGTAAAGGTTGAGTCTTTCGCAAGTTTTTATATATAGTTGGCATTGGGTAGTGCATTTACTGAAAATTAAGGAGAGGCAATGGGAAAGAGCAAGGTTCTTGTTGTGGGGGGAACTGGGTATGTGGGAAGGAGGATAGTGAAAGCAAGTCTAGAACAAGGGCATCAAACCTATGTTCTTCAACGTCCAGACTTAGGGTTAGATATCGACAAGTTGCAGATGCTGCTTTCATTCAAGAAGCAAGGTGCTCACCTTGTGGAGGCTTCTTTTTCTGATCACCAGAGCTTGGTCGATGCTGTGAAACTTGTGGATGTTGTCATTTGCACCATGTCTGGGGTTCATTTTCGCTCTCACAACTTGTTGCTGCAGCTTCAACTTGTTGAGGCCATCAAAGTTGCAGGAAATGTCAAGGTATGCATTTTTCGTGTATACTAAAACGGTGTTCTCATGGATCGTGTTATAGTATACTCTTTCTGTAAGTTTATTAAAACTACTAAAGCACAGATAGCATAGTTAGACAGGAAGATTTAATAACATATATAATTTTCAATAAATTTTAAGGAATAAAAGAATGTGTTAAAGAAAAGTTCAAATCAATCTTACTGATAGAGTCACAGAACGTTAAGGCACGCAACCTTTCTTAAATCAGTGTTATGTAGCCTTCAAGCCTTAAAGACAAATCAAATTATAAGATGCCAAATTCAGCACCAGGTATGCTCTAAATTGGTTTAGCTGCAAATGGTACACATCTGGATGGTTCTTTTAGGATGGATTAACCGGGGATAGACAATATATTTAAGACCTTAACGAAAGTTATGACATTATTTTAACCCAACAACTTAAGAAGTTNAACCATATGCATGGCACCTACGTCATCACACAATGCTTCTAGTCTATCATCTAATACAGAACCACATCCAACAGAAAACCACAATTCCTTAAAACCATCGTACCCAAGACTTTTGACTACACTCACTACAATAAAATAACTCCATAAGTCAGGATCAAAATACATTGTCTCACTTTCCCCTTCATACTTCAGGCAGTCGTCATTGACGAACTTTCCCCCATGGTGAATATCAACCTCTATATCGTCCATCACACACAACACAATCAAGAATATTCTACACCTACAAATAAGCCTAAAACGACAAAAAACACCGCTTATTAAAGTGATAATGACAGAACAAACAAACTGTAACTATGGGGGACATGGGGGACCACAACCGCAATATGCAAACACCACATTTTCAGACAACCCCAACCCCACATTCAAAAAAGCATCCCCAGATAACAATAGAAACAACCGAATATTATATTCATATATATGTAAAGCAGACATACTAACCTTCCAGCAAATTCCACTCGAACCACTTCACGCACATGTAGAACGACTTCGCGATTCACGTCAAAACTCCAATGACGAAGCTCCAAAGCCCTAATGAAGTCTGTATCCTCTCCACTAAAGACTTCGCGCAAGCTTGTGATACACTCTCCTCTCAGATTTTTAATCTCAAATTGAATCCCAAATTCAATTTGATTGAACCCAAAATCCCATTTCAGAATTGCCTAATTTTATATTACATTTTACATAATTCCACGCATAAAGGCCTAATCATGCCACGTTTCAACTCTAAACATGCCACGTTTAAAGAAATCAACACGTAATCCTCCCACCTGTGCAAAAACTTAATCTCGTTAACTAAATTTAACGACAGGGGCTCAATTGATTCAAATTACCACTTATAAGGACTCAATTGGGGATTCTAATAAGAAGGGGATCAAAATGGGAAAACCCCACATAAATAGGGACAACTAAAGGGTTTAAACCTAATAATAATAACATGTGTTGCATAAGACATTCATTATTAAGCATAAGACGCATTTATACTAATTCACATATTGAAAAATGAAGTAATTTAATTACAGTGATGAATTTATTAACAACTTGTATTTTTTTAAAATTATTCTTAAATTCTTGGAACTCATCATATCACTCTCCCCACTTAATTAGTAACGTTTTTTAATCATCTGCTTTAAATTTCGTATGGTAAAAATAATTTTATCTAATTAGTTTGTAAAAGTTATCATAAATTTATTAGAAGTAAACATTAACATTGTGTTCACATGAACAAATTGTACTGTTCAAAGACAAATGAGAGCAACGAAAGTGAGGTTTTCTCGTGTTTTGATGAGAGAAAAAGTGAGGAACTTTGAAGATGGATTTACAAGATGGAGAGGTTTTTCATATTGAAGGGATTATTAGTAAAATGTCAAATGTGCCCAATTTCATCCGTGTATATGAGGTTAATATAGATAATCGATTCGCAGAAGACGAAACCGATTCAAGTTAATATTAAAAAGACGTCAAGAACAATTTTTAAATACGCTTTTACTACTTTAGACTCACGAGTAAGTACAATTACTTTGGCTTGGCATGGTTGCAAAGATTCCCTGAGCTGATGAGGACGAAGAAGGAACTAATGACATGAAGAAGAAAGTGGTTAAGTGGAATGAGCGTCTATCCAGGGTGAAGAAGATGATGAACAGTGCTTCACAAGTGATATTTGAACGAAGCGTATTCGGTTCCATACCTCCAAGCGGCCTATCGCAACAGCTGTATTCGGTTCCATGGAGCGTATTCAGCTCCTTGTTTGTGTGAATGTACTTGGATGTGCTGTATTCGGTTCCGTGATGGTATCCGGTCCCTTCCAACATTGCAGGCAAGCTTGGCGTGAAGGTGGAGGCGGCCTGAAGTGTGACGAAGGTGGAGTTTCGTACGAAGCTCACGCCGTAGGAGACAAAATTGTCGTTTCTGTGGTAGGCCTCCACTTGCGCTAAGGAGGCGAGAGGAGCACCACCGACACCGTTGCACTGGAGACGGCCGGAGTCACCGCTAGCGTAGTAGAAGGCGGTGCTGGAGTGGGTGCAGCTAGTATGGGCCCAGACCCGGCCTGACCAGTGGACATTGAGGACAGGGATGGACAGGTGAGTGAGGGTGTGGAGAGTAAAGCCGCCGCCGACGAGGACTGGATGGACGACGTTACTTTTATCAATTAAATAAATTATTTAAATCTATCACATCAATTAAATCCTACATTCATTCTCACAAACTTTACTTCAAAATCCACTGAAATAAACAATAAAAGAATTACTCTGAAATTCCCTCAACTTTCCTCGTATAATCTCCTCGAAACTTCCTCAAGAGAGGTTAAGACGAGGATGGAGTTGAGAGGGTATACATCGATTTCCCTTTTCTATCTTTTTTTTCAGTTTAATTAAAAAATTAAAATTATTTTTCCCATGCTTTACAAAAATGGTAGAAAGAAACTGGAAAAAGAATTTCAGCAACAAACATATTTCATAATAAAATATATAGAGGAATTAAATAATATTTTTGGACAAAGCGATTTTCTGGGATTTGGAATTGAGGAAGGTGACAATGATTTTGAGATGGGAAGGTGACGGTGATTTGATATAGGACGTGTATGACGCCCATGGAAGAAGAAAAATTAAATAGTTAAGGTTTCTAATATTATTTAATGTGGGGATAGAATAGAGATAAAAATATTTATGGGGTATAGGAAACAAAAAGGTGGGTGCGAAGTAAAAGAGCCTTTTGAAAAACACTTTACGCGTTGGGCGTATTCTTCATGCACCCTATGTTTTCAATCTGCACCTACTTCTAAGTGATGAAATGCCTATTATATATTTAATGAAAAATAAATAAAAACATTAATTTTCGTATCTTTTATCTCCAGTTCCTTTTCGCCTAATATATTCTATCACTATAAGTTGGATAAGCGGACTATTTAACTTAAATAAAAGAAATTTAAGTTATGTTTTTTTTTAAGTTTAATTATTATTTAAAAAACAACTTTACTCACAAATTTAAGAATTAGGTCAGTGTAAACTCCTTCAAAGTATATTATTTAAACCAAATTAAAAATATTCCAATTAAAATTACATTTTAATTCTTTTGTACATGAGAAAAGCCTATTTGTGATATACTGACACCAACAATTTAAAATAAACCAATTTTTACTTAATATTAGATTAGGGTCGGTGAAAACTCTTATTATTTGATTAATAATTGTATAATCTATGAGGTATAAAATACAACTATCTTGAACCTACCACTCCAACAACTTTTTCAACTACTTTTTCAACTCAATTGACATTAATAGCTTTTTTTAAGTCAGTCATAAAACAATGGAATTCGTGAGTTGCTTAAATTTTCAAACAAAAAACCTATTTGTTGAATCTTAAGATTTTTTTCACCATATCATGTTTCCAAAAAGTTTCTCCTAAGATATGCAATTAATTATATTTTTTATATTATTTCTCAGTTATGTGAGATGTTTATTGTATTTCTTTTATATCAAGACATATATTCTTACTTGTAAATAAGAAAGTAAATACTAGTTATTGATGCAATAAGAATTTATAGTGAATGGTAGTATAAGTTCAACAAATAATTAATAGATTTAAGATAAGTTTGAAGTTGTTTTGAAAAATAAATTGTAAAAGACAAAGTCGTTTTCATAAAATCGATCATAATTTGGATGCAATATCTAACAAAATCTAATCAAAATTTAATTTTTAAGAGATTGAATTTTGAACTAAATTTTTATTTTTTTCATTTAAAAAAAGTAAGAAAATAATTTTAAAAAAATACACACAATTGGAAAATCGAATTTTGAACATAAATAACAATGATGTTATGTTCGTATACAATATGTTATTTGGGAAAAAAGAAAAACAAAAAAAAATCTGAATCTTAAAAGCCTTTGAATGGGCAATGCTTCATAAGATGGCAACAAATGTTCTTCTCAAGAAGAAAGTGCTGTGCATGTGATGCGATTGCTATGGGTTTAAAATATTGATTAAATAAATCAGAACAACAACAACCATAATATTATTAATAATAATAATAATGATAATAATAATAATAATAATAATAGTAATAATTTTTCTGTTGAATTAAATTTCTTTACGCTAAACACACTATATATTTTTAGTTTTTAAATATATTTTTTTATTCCAGTAAATATGTGATTTTATTTTGTTAATAATTTAAAAAATACAAAAGAAATCATTAGATGAATTGTTAAGATGATAACACTCATTTGAAGAAAATGGCTCAACTGCTTTTCCATATGCATAGTTGGTCAACAACCAACAACCCCATTTCTGATGTTCTTCCTTCTCTTCATTTTTCAAACGCCACCAACTCAAAATCCACAAATCTTAAATCTTAAATTCAAAAGGTTTCTTATTCAAGAGGAGATGAAAGAACAAAATCACCAAACACAAACACAAATGTATAATATAATATCTTTAATTTGAAGACAATGTTCAAACCAGAGATAATCAAAAGATAGGGAATGATGGGTGTCAAAATCAAATCAAAATCTACCATAAAGTAAGAAGAAAAAATTTGACACCATTAGTCAAAAAGATTTGGATTACTTCATTATCACTGCATTTTTTAATCATTTATCAATGAAGAAGGCTACACTTATCGGATCAAATACTATTATTTTTTAAATATAGTTTTGAGCACTATAATGATTAAAAATAACACTCGTTTCAAATGGATAGCTAAACCTTAAATGTTTCATAGTAATTTATTAGAAATATTATTTAGTGATCACAATGTTTTTGCTATATTATTCATGAGAAATGAGCGTTTGTGGTCCTTTTTAGCTTTAGTCCAGGATGAAAAATCAACCAGCCCATGGCAAAACTTTCTTAAAAATGCATACTTTTCTTATCTTTTGTTTTTCCAATTCCACGTCATATTCAGCATCAAGAAACTTTTGTTAAACATATGATAAATGAAAGCAATAGTTTGTTTCTTTATTTTTAATAAAACTCTAGCATATGCTTCAAATTTTCTTGAAGATTGACAATGAAATTTTTGTCTTTCAAGGCCACCATCTCCTTCCTACTCTAGAGAGAGTAACTTGAACTCCACCTTTTCAAGATATTGCTATATTTCTTGGTAGAAACTTACAAATATGCAGAAAGAGGAATGATGAAACGTGAAAGTAAAGGTTGAGTCTTTCGCAAGTTTTTATATATAGTTGGCATTGGGTCGTGCATTTACTGAAAATTAAGGAGAGGCAATGGGAAAGAGCAAGGTTCTTGTTGTGGGGGGAACTGGGTATGTGGGAAGGAGGATAGTGAAAGCAAGTCTAGAACAAGGGCATCAAACCTATGTTCTTCAACGTCCAGACTTAGGGTTAGATATCGACAAGTTGCAGATGCTGCTTTCATTCAAGAAGCAAGGTGCTCACCTTGTGGAGGCTTCTTTTTCTGATCACCAGAGCTTGGTCGATGCTGTGAAACTTGTGGATGTTGTCATTTGCACCATGTCTGGGGTTCATTTTCGCTCTCACAACTTGTTGCTGCAGCTTCAACTTGTTGAGGCCATCAAAGTTGCAGGAAATGTCAAGGTATGCCTTTTTCGTGTATACTAAAACGGTGTTCTCATGGATCGTGTTATAGTATACTCTTTCTGTAAGTTTATTAAAACTACTGAAGCACAGATAGCATAGTTAGACAGGAAGATTTAATAACATATATAATTTTCAATAAATTTTAAGGAATAAAAGAATGTGTTAAAGAAAAGTTCAAATCAATCTTACTGATAGAGTCACAGAACGTTAAGGCACGCAACCTTTCTTAAATCAGTGTTTTGTAGCCTTCAAGCCTTAAAGACAAATCAAATTATAAGATGCCAAATTCAGCACCAGGTATGCTCTAAATTGGTTTAGCTGCAAATGGTACACATCTGGATGGTTCTTTTAGGATGGATTAACCGGGGATAGACAATATATTTAAGACCTTAACGAAAGTTATGACATTATTTTAACCCAACAACTTAAGAAGTTTATGAATCTTCTTTCAACTTTTTCATTTTTACTTAGTCTAAGACTTTGACTTAAAGTCATAAGAAAATGACGATGGAAAGAGTATGCCAGAAGAAATTACATTGGTCTGTGTATTGTGTGTAATGAGGTTTTGAGGCAAAGTCTAATTAGTGTATGCTAATTGGTGGATGTAATTTCCTGTGCTGGTTTTGAAACAACAATCTTGGTCGGGCCCAGTTCATTAACATATATAGTGTGGCTGACAACCTTATAATGAGAATAGAAATAGTATGTAGATAATTTCAAAGTTGTATGAAAATGTTATTCATTTTTGGCTCAAATTTATAATTATAGTACATTTTCATTTTTAGATTTGAGTAGAACCGGTGAATCATTGAATATAATCTCAATCATGCATATATAAAATTTTAGATAAGTTGAATAACATATTTTATTAATGACTGTCCTGTGACAGTAAGAGCTTTTACTTTATTATTTCTTTTAAGATAGTTATTGTATTTGAATCACACTTTTGTAATCAATATAAAATTTGTTTGTTGTTTAGCGTTTTCTGCCTTCAGAATTTGGCATGGACCCTGCACTTATGGGGCATGCACTTGAACCAGGAAGAGTGACATTCGATGAGAAAATGACTGTACGGAAAGCAATTGAAGATGCCAACATCCCTTTCACTTACATCTCTGCTAACTGCTTTGCTGGCTACTTTGTTGGTAACCTCTCTCAAATGGGGACCCTCCTCCCTCCACGAGACAAGGTCATTCTCTATGGTGATGGCAATGTCAAAGGTATACAAAATTTTTAAGTAAAATACTAAATCTATAATGCTTTTATTTCTTTTCATTTTATGTGTTATTATGCACACCCTTGCTGTCATAGTGTATGAAACTTATTCATAGTTTAAGAAAATAAGATGCATTCCCATGTGATCTAACGCTTTATACTAAAGAATACCCTTTCACAATGCAGCTGTTTTCATGGATGAAGATGATGTTGCAACGTACACAATCAAGACAATTGATGATCCTCGAACACTGAACAAGACTGTATACCTAAGACCACCAGAAAACATTCTCACTCAAAGACAGCTAATTGAGAAGTGGGAGAAGCTCATAGGGAAGCAACTAGAGAAGTCCAGCATAAATGAACAAGATTTTCTTGCTTCCATGAGAGGTAACAGTACACCCGGAAGAGAAAGTACTAAACTTTTTGTAGTAATTCTTTTATTTCAACAAAAATGACTTTGGTTAATTCCAGGTTCGGACTATGCACAACAAGTTGGATTGGGACATTTCTACCATATTTTCTATGAAGGGTGTTTGACAAACTTTGAAATTGGAGAAGGTGGAGAAGAAGCATCAGCACTTTATCCAGAGGTGAATTACACTCGCATGGATGAATACCTTAAAGTGTATGTGTGATGAGATTATAGGCATGAAAAAGTATAAGTTAGACCAACCAAAAAATTGGGAGCTGATATAATACAATTATCGAGGAGAGATAACGATGACCTCACTTGCAAGAGATTCTATTTTTTTTTTTCTGTTGAATGGTTTCTGATCATGTCTGCTGTAATTGTGAAATTTTATTTTTCATCTGAGTTCCCGAATATACAAGAAAATGATGATCACCTCGATCATTGTTGATGTCCCAATTGGATACTATAACTTGTTGATGACTTGGTTGATTGCTCCTATTATACTAAAACTTGTATACCATTGTTTATCAGAGTTATTAGAGAAAAAAATTCAATTCAACAGGAAAGTTATACTAAAAGCACTAGGGAATTTGTATCAGATTTTTGTCCAGTGAAAAATTGGTAATAAGGACTTAGCTCTAGAAAAGGAAGAGATAACAAGCTGTTTTGATATGCAACTTT